TATCATTTTCTCAAATAGGATTTACAGAAATAGCCCTAGATTTAAATGTTTAAACACTAATTTATAAAAGCATTGGTTGATTCCTATAATACAGCTAGTAGTTAAACTGGACAAGATAATGAATTGACTGAGATCATTGTTCCATCTTCATCCAAGAAAGCTGCCTCTAAAAAAGGATCTTAAATTGCTGTAGAAATCCAATTTGTGAGATGCAAAGGGAGCATATAGACAGGAGACATCCGCACAATCGCAGCAATTTTGTGGCTAGCAGCAATGCTTTGAAGTGAAGAAGAAAAAAATGACAAAAATAATAAGTCCACTCACATCCCCAGTTTTAATTCAACAACACAACCAGAAGAAAACTAACTGCAAACACAGATACGAAGTCCACATCTTGGGGAGCATCCAGAAAGCATCCTCCCCACACACCCAAAATGATTTGCAGCTTAGTAAGAAGCAAATTCCAATGCTGAGGAAATAGTGCCATAAGATGGTGATACATCATTGCTAAAAGGTAAACTGTAGTAAGAAATCAGGAGACCAGGAACTTGACATCAGCACAACTAGGCATGGAAAGTTTGTGATAATTCACTGGTTTTCAATCTGCAGGTATGGGAACCTTACAAGTAGTTGTCATGAAAACCTGCAACTCACTGCCATTGAAAAGCCGCAAAGGAAAAGTCTCTCAACAAACTACCATTCATTTAACCACCTATTCAAATAAAAGCTGCAACACCACAGCGATGTAGAAGGAAAGGCGCAGTTTCCACTTTTGGGATGAGAATGTTCTAACTATCTGCTCCTGTATTAACTATGAGACCTAATTTACAGGCAATTTATGGGCATCAGCAATTTACATTAAAAAACAGCTTGAAGATGCTATCAACTGAACAAATGGGTTTTTGCTCTGAGTACAGTTGAAAAATAAAAGTCACTATGAATCAGTCAGGATTTAAAAATAATAGATCTATTTACAGTGCTACAAGCAAAGGGAAATGGGAAAATTTACAGGGAGCCACAGGTGAGTTCTTTCACTGTTTTCTTTTTAAGTTTTAGAACTAAAGTAATGGCTGTTATTCAACTGACAGCACCATTCTTCAGGGGGAATACACATCTAGGTTGGAAGGTGGAAAATAGTTTTCTTGTTAATTTTATTTTTAAGTTTTAGGTTTCTTTTTAAAGAATTCCTTCTTTATTAAAGTGACTCATAAAAGCTCACGGAATAAGGGAATTCTTACCTGACACGTAAACACGCTCACAAACATTATCTTACCCAGGAAATAAAGGTCTCATTCACACATGCACACGCACACACACACACACAACATCCCCTTCCACACAAAATGCTACCACGTCCCAGGAAGCTGGCAAAGGCAACATTACAATTTAATGCCAAATACAAACCCATTTTCTGAATTTCATCTAAGAAAATACAAGATCGGCCTCCTTTAGCCAACTGCAAAGTTCCCTTTCTGCTTAATGAGCATAATAAACATCATCTTACCATTCTCTGTAGAATAAAGGCAGCAATGTGTTGTTTCCTGCAGTCACCAAATCAAGTTTCTTTCCTTCCTTTCTTTCTAGCAACCTCCTTCACACCGGCAATATTAGGAAGAAAAAGAATCAGAGTATTTGCCTCAGTGTTTCAGACCGCAAGACTGTGAAACTAACTCTTAGTAAAAAAAAAAAAAAAAAGAACAGGTCTGGTATTCTACAATCACTTCTGCAACTCAGAGGTACCTCCTGGGTCCTCGTACCTCCTTGCCTCCCTCGTTCCCTGTGTTTCTGTTCGTAATGAGACCAATTTTTCCAGTAGCCTTAAACTCCCTAGATTTAACTGACATGGAAAATGTGACTGAAAACTTGTAGAACTGTCTAGCCTCCAACCCTACACAGAATCAACTTTGTTGCAAGTGTTGAAGAACACCTCACAAGCAGCTACTTGCTCGCTGAAGCTCCTGAGCTGCGTGCACAGCACAGAACACCAAATAGCAGTGCGCCATCTAGTTAGCGAGCGGCTCTCTCCACTCCAGAAGGGGGGACACCTTCCAGCCCAGGGAGTTAAGGACTTGTCAGGGCTCAGCTGCTCTAAAGGTCCAATTGTTTATTTAAATAAAAAAAAATAGATCACTACGGAGATAATCCACATCTAGTGGATATGGGAAAATTTAGGTTATAATGGCACTACAAACTTTTACATCTAACTTTGATTTACAAGATAAAAGCAAGTTTTAAATTAAAAGGGCTTTCTGTTAATAGAGCTTATTATTCTGAAGACGGGAATGATTTTCTTCGAAAGTTGTCCCTGGGTGCCTGCCTATTATCTTTGCCTTTCCCCCTTCCACTAATGAGCATTTATCTAAAGAGCCTGCTAATCCTCTGATGTGTGCTTCTGGTCAAAGGTAACAGTTTGAATAAAACCACTAATCACTGATCACTAAATCACCAATCATTAATCACACGTTTCAGTGTCGGCGACCCCGGGCCGTTTTTCCCTCTCGCTCTGTGCATCGCAAACAAGAAGTTTAACATCTTAGAGGCACATGGATTGCGTGGGGGTTATACCATTTCATGGCTAACTGTGAATAAATAATAAACACGGCCACGGGCTCGGGGAAGGGCTGTCAGTTAGACCCCAGACAGGAATTCCACAAACGTCTACTCTACGGCATGGCTTTCGCTTGGAAGACACGAGACCCGATTGTAACAAAACATGTGTCCTGCGAGAAACCCCCACCTCCTCAGAATATAAATTTTCCTTTGTCTAGCTTTCACCCACTCCAAACCGGAGAGCACCCAAATCATCCGCCCTCCCATCCAAAACCCTGCTAGCAGTTTATTTGATTTCTGCTGCACACACTCCCCAAGAGTTTTCACTTGTACCCCTTACGCATGTCACAGGCAGTATTTTTTTATTTCAACTGGCAGATTCGAAGTTCTGACTCGATTTAATAACTCAAGCAGTAAACTTCCTCCTTGAGTACAGAAACTTCAGGCTAAGAGAGAGAGTAGTAACACACAACAATTCATTATACTGTACTCTGGGTCCAGGGACTCACATTCCCTCACTTTGGAAACGGAACGTTTAATCTGGCTCCTTGCAACTACATTTGATTTAGCCAGCACCCTCTCTCCTCCTTCCCTGTTCTCTTAAGCAGTTGGGGAAAGGCGCTAAGTCAAATTAAACACTTGGTTTGCAGTGGGTGTGCTGTTTTCCTAAGTCACCACGAGGACACAGTATTGTCAGAACGTCTCTCTCAACGTTTCCTGAGATGCCTTTTCGGTCGGGGCTGAGCACTTGCGCCCGGAGAAGAAGGTTCGCGGGTGCCTTGCTTAAATAATAGAAAAGGGCAGATTGTGCCTGGGCGGATCAGGTACCGCGTTCCGACACCAGAAGCTCTTACCCACACTCTGGGGACAGAGCTCGCCCCAGGGAAGGCAGCTCTGAAAGGCGGAGGCGGGGCCCGAGTGATAACGGCGTGGGCGGGAGAGGGGGTGGAGAAGGAGGGGTCCTGGAGCAGTGGGCGAGAACGATGCCCCGGGAACCCGAGACTCTACAAGGACGCTGGGGGCTGCGGGTGGACAGCAGAGTTGCTTTGTCAGCATTTCCGAGCCCCCGAACCCTTGAATATCTGAAGCTGGGAATCAAACACTTACTGGCCTGCAGAATGACGTAATGGACCTGCATCCAGCCTGTGTTCCTTGACACATGTCAGAGAGGGAGGGAAAAACAAAAGTCAAACACACTCCGCGGACGCTGACGAAACGTACAAGCAGCCCACTCCGCTCCTGGCCTTGAAAGGGCATCAAGTGGTGGGCGCACACGTCCGGGGAAAGTTGGGGAGGGGGTGGCCCTCGTCTGGGACTTTCGTCTAGCGGTTACACAACCCCTTCCCCCGGACAAACGTATAGCAAAAAAGAAGCGGGATGCCGCCGCCAGGAGAAAAACACCTCCGTGGTTCCTTCGCATGTCTTGCCCCTCTAAGAACTTCGTGAAAAGTTTAAGCGGCTCCGTGGAGAATCTGCCGTAGAGGTTCCGCCGCCAGGAACTGCCACCGCGCCTCGGCGGCAGCTGTCACTTGGGGCAGCGGCGGGGAAGAGGTACAGATACCAGCGAGCACCGGACGCAGGGAGGCAGGGGCGGCTGGAGCAGCGAACGCAAGCGGAGCCTCGCCACTGTCGAGCCCTCCGCGCCCGGAGCCCAAGGCAAGTGCCCGCCGGGAGCCAAGTTCCCTCCTCGGGCGCGCGCCCACCAGCTGCGGCGGGCAGCCCCGCGGGAGAGGTGGCAGCAGCAGGCCCAGCACCCCGGAGGGGGCGAGCCCCCGCGCACCCGCCTGTCCACCCGCTAGGTGACCCGGCGTCCTCGCCGCGCCCGCTGGAAGTTTGCAAACTTTCTCCGGGGATCCGCCGCATCACGGGGAAGTTGGGGACGCGGGGGAAGGTTCCTGGCTTGCCATCTCCGCTGCCGCCGCCGCTGCCACCGCTTGACCGCACTTCTGGAGGGTTCCGCACCTTGCCAGGTCTCTGGAGGCAAACACACACCCCCGATTCATAACTGTTCCCCGTGTCAGGGAAACACACGCGCGCTCCCACACACGCACGCACGCCGGGCGGACACAGCGCTCACTCCACGTTAGCGTCCCTCCAGTCGCACGGCGCGGCGGCCACGGAGACGCGCTCCGGGATGGACGCGGCGTGGGGTCTCTAGGGTGGCCTCAGGACACAGCACAATTCCACAGTCCACCAGCGTTTGGGGCCGGACTTCCCTCTGGTCCGCCAATGTGTTTACAAAACACAGATCACCCTCCAAAAAATGCATCGCATCTTCCCTACTCCTTGCCCTGTGACCTGCCCACTGGACCAAGTAACCTCTCGGCGGCTGCCGAGAACCAACCCCTGCCAACAAGTACGCTCCGCAGATGGCTCCCTCGGCAAGTGCAACAAAAGTGGCTAAATGCAAAAGCCCCAGAAGTGGCCCAGCCGTATTTTTAGGAACTTACCAAACAAGTGTGGAGAAGGCAAGAGCAGAGCCCGGGTGAAGGGACCACGTTGGACTGAGCAAAGATTACAATACATTCTATTTAGAGTGCATTACATCACCCCCCCGGTGACGTCACGTGGGATTCCTGAACTTCTAAATCATTGCGGTCCGCGGGGGAGGGAAGGAGGGGCGGGGCCGGAGCGCCAAGGGGGCGGGCCCCGCCCCGGCCCCGCCCCGACCCCGCCCCAAGAGCGGACCCTGGTGCACCCGCTGGAGAGCGCGTGTTGGCAGGCGGCGGTGGCAGCGACAGCGCAAGCAACAGCTTGCAGAGCCCAGCGCCGTGTGACACGGCTCCCTGACATTAGTGGTGTGAGTCAGCTTGGAAACAATCCTCAGGGTTTCAGACAGGACCGTGGAGGAGGGGCTGTCCTGCAAGGAGGGCCTGGAAGCGTTCGAAAGGTGCTAGGATGGGGGTAGGGGAGAGGTGGCGACCGGGGTCCTGAAGGGCACGGAAAGACTTTCCGCGAACACAAATTCAGGGCGCTCCACTCTCCCCTCGCCAGCAGATGTCCAGCTCCTTTCTGCCTGCGACAGTCCTGACCTCATCACCGTGCTCCCTGCATCCTGGCTTCTCGGAGCGCTGGCTCATGGACCTTCTACCCGCCCCCCACCCCACCTCGCACCCAAGGGAGTTCCAATATTGTGCACACTCACGCGGAATACACAGACCCCACCCTTTCAGAGACCCCTGCTCCGTGCTTCTGGGGAGCTAGAGGAAGCGTTGCTCCTGGGGGCGAAAGGTGAATCACAGCCAGAGCCAAGTGATGAGCCTGATTTAGATGCAGCGTCAGAGCCGGAAGGGCCCTTGGCGATCACTTCCAGAGCCTAGTCTGTGACTCGCCCCAGCTCACAGCCTGGCAAGTGGCAGCGCCAGGGCCGGTGGCAGGACCCAGGCGCCTGGTCTGCAGTGTCCTCCTGACAGCTCCCCGAGAGAGAAGGAGCCTGGCGTCTTCAGCCTTGGCCGGCCACCATCACCATGCCCAGCTTACTGTCCATTCACATGCTCTCCCTGTGAGGCGGACTGCATGCAGGGCAAGGCGCCAGCTAAATTCCAGCCGTTATCCCTGAGCCGCTCACACTCCACGAAGCACTCACACCCACGCGAACTCCCACGTTCGCACAACAACCCAGCGGGAGAAGTAGGGCAAGTGTTATAATTATCCCCATTGTACAGGTGAGCTAAGGCAGACTCCGGGAGGCGAGGGGGGCTGGCTGGCCTGAAGTCCCTTGAGCTAGTGGCGGCACTGGCACCATCCCAAGCCCTGTTTGCAAAGCCCAGACCCCAGCCCGGCTCCCTTCTAGAACTCCCTTCTCCCGGGTGTTTGGTGGTGAGAGCCTCTGCTGAGGATGTGTTGGCTGGGAGTCGAAGCTTTGCTTAGGAACAGTTTAGCCCCATTAACTAACAATAATTATTCCTGACATTTATGTAACATTTGACATTTATATAGCACCTCTCATCCCAGTGCATCATAACCGTGACTGCGCAGTTTGCCAGAGAATCATGACGGGACTGGCTCGAAACCGTAGTGTTTGGCCTGGATTGTAACATACTTCTGGGCCGGTTTTGACATAATATATGGAAGAGCTTTGTGTTTCCTTTCTGTTTTTCAGTGTTTAAACAACTCCCTTCCCTTCGGTGTTCCCTGGGACCGTACGGACGGAGGACTGGTCGTTTCTCACTGCCTTATTCAGAACTCTTCCCTGAGTTTTCTATTTGTTTTTTTTTTTTCCACACAGAGCCCTGAAGGAATTTGCAAAAGAAGGGCACCAGTCCTAACTTGAATCTTAACCAATAAAACTTTTAAATATGACAGCTCAATTACATGGGTGTATGGAAGGAAGCAGCGGCGTACCAAGGGGCAGCCCTCGTGCCCACGTTCCCACTCAATTCCCAGGGCAGCCCTTTCCACCTGAAGCAGGTATCTGCCTCCACTCCTTCTCCCTCAGAGCGAAAGGGAGCCGGCAGGAGAGCCAACGTGAAGCAGAGAGGGGATGCAGCTCCATCTATTAGAGCTCCGCCTGAGAGTTTATCTTTCTTTTTCTCCGGCTGACGAGTGGGACCAAAGGAAGAGAATGGAGACTTGAATAAGCAAAGCCCATGTGATAATCAAGTATGTTTTTTTAAAAAAAAAACTCTAAGCAGTGAATCAACAAATAAATTTAAAACATTCAATCCCTGATATTCTCTAAACATAATCATATAGATTTGACTTTTAATGCAAGGAGTTCATCAGTTTCCAATACTATGCAAATCACGTCCTGATCTTTAAAAAATATCGCTGACCTTTTGCTTGACATGCTGTCACGAGGTAAACAACGCCCCTGTCTGAGCCATGACTGACAGAAAAATACACATGAAATTTTCCCAGTGACTTCCAATCACTTGATTATCATTAGGTTACTTGAAGTCCCAATAAGTAGATAATTTCTCTTAACATCAACAATATTGTTCACGGTGCAGACTCCTTTCTCAGCTTCTGCTGAACTGACAGCAGTTTCATTGAGAATATCTCTATCATTGTATTACAGTTTTTTTAATATATTCCAGATCTCTGTTACCAAGTCATACACACAAAAAAATCTTGTTCTGAATGAAATTAGAAAAGAAAAATAATGTTTATCAGTGTGGATTCCAGTGTCAGGCTGCCTCAGTTCACATCACAGCACTTCTACTTGAGTTTTAAGTAATCACTGGGTCTCAATCTCCTCATCTATACAATAGAAATAGTGGAGATAATTATAGTAACTGAAAGGGATTAATAATTATGCAATGTAAGTACTTGCCCTCATTTTCATTAATGAAAGTAATGTGGCTAATGCTGGGATGGGAGGGCCTTCAGTGATTTTAGCAAAATTGCCCAAATAAATGAAAAGAGAGCCTGTTTCCTCACACCTCTCCCAGCCCCACCCTGATCCCTGCACGCATCATCTGCCTGCACCGAGCAGGCTCTCGCCTGTCCGCCCCTGCCAGCAGAGCCCTTTTGTTGGCGGACTCTGACTCCCGCACGCCTTGTGCTCTCCCGGTCTGTCCCACGGAGGCTGCAGTTCCTACAAGCAGCGATCCAAGAGCATCTCCGGAGGTATCTCACCTGGAGACAGCCACAATCTGGGGCGCTTGCCCACTGGGGTACCAGCACCTCCTCCACAAATGCCATGTTACCCACCAGGACTCGGCCCATTTTGGCCTGGGGGAACATGTGGAGACAGGGACCCTCACACTAGAGTCAAGGTAAACTGGCTGGAGTGCCACACGTCAGGGATGCTCCCATCCCCCTCCACAGGGTAGAAGCACAGTCAGGGCATCAGCCCCTTCTCCAAGGCACCACATTGGCTGGACCAATGAGGGGCTAACATTTCTACTGACCAATGAGACTAGATGAGACCCCCTGCTAGACAAGGGGTTAACCCTTTAGTTGCTGGATCATGGGGCAGTACAAGGGGGAGGCTGGGCAGCAGGGCCAATGGATAGCACAGAGGTCAGAGAAGTGGCTATGTACTAACTCCCGTGGAAATTTTTTAGTATTTTTAAAGATTTTATTTATTTATTTTTAGAGAGGGAAGGGAGAGAGGGAGAGAGAGAGAGAAACATCAATGTGCGGTTGCTAGGGGTTATAGCCTGCAACCCAGGCATGTACCCTGGCTGGGAATCGAACCTGCGACACTTTGGTTCGCAGCCCACGCTCAATCCACTGAGCTACGCCAGCCAGGCCAAAATTTTCCAGTATTTTAACCTACTGAATAACAGGCCTGACTAGAACAATCCTAAGGATCCTCGGATGGGGAGGATTACTTTAGCCTCTTGCTTTGGATCTAGTCATTTCTCCAAAATTCACGACAAAGGTTAGGAGGGTGTTGGGGAGACAAAGGGGAAAAATGGTCTCCTAGGCCCCCACAGAAGTTCACAAACTTAGCAGCATAAGATGTACTTGGGCAACTTGTTAAAATCAGTTTCTTGGGTCAGACTTCCCCAGGGATTTCAGTTCAAAACTCTGGCATTGGGCCCAGGACCCTGCGTTTGTGACTCTGATGCAGGCATCCGGGGACTCCACTTTGAGTGACTCTGGTCTAGTAGATTCCTAGATGGGCAGCGGCCTGAGAGGAAGCTGAGGGGGGGACAGGAAGAGTCTGCTGCCTGCAACGCTAAAAATACAATGGCCCTGGGCTTCTGTATGTACTTAAGATCAGTCCTCTAGCTGCCTCCCAAAAAGACACACATTCCCCTAGAACGGACTTCTCCTCGTCTCTTCCACGTGCACCGTTCGGCGGGATCCTTCCCATTTACTTCTCATTCGGGGCTTTTCTTACCTGAGTTAATAGTGGTCACGGGAGAGATGCCGCTGGGTGCGTGTTTAAGCCCCTAGCTATGGCCCAGCTGTGAAGCTTCTATCTCTTCTAAGGATCTTCGCCAGGTTTCCTCGTTATCTCACTTGAAGGAATAATGATTTTGCAAATATATGAAACTGCAAAATGCATCCAAGGACAGCAACAACCACAGCACAGCTAACACTTACCGAGCATTTACTCCGTGCCGAGCCTGGGGCCAAGAGCCGTACGTGTGTTCTCCTCGTAATAACCCTGCGAGGTTGGCGGAACCATTCCCATTTCTCAGTGAGAAGAGCGACCCTTACGGCAGTGAGCACCATGGTCAGGGTGGCATAGCTGGGGCACGGCAGGGTTGGGGGCGGGGGAGAGGATCCCTGGTGCCCACACCCGCAGGTCTGATGGACAGGGAGCATGCGCATGAGCAGAGGCCATGGACGCAATAAGCGTGTCCACTCTCCACCCCCCAGCCTCGTTTGCATATAGCACCCATGATACCTCCTGAGCACAAATTTCCGGTGGGCCCCTGACGCGTGGGCGTTCACTGAGACAGAAAACCAGCAGGAGGCAAGCCCATTTCATCAGTGTGGCGTGGGGGTGAGGCTGGTGCGACAGCCCCGAGGCACTCTGCTTTCCTTTGAAATCAGAACTTGCTTAGAACACAGGGGGAAACCA